TCTTAATTTGAGGAAATGCAGGCAACACTTGGGTTTTGTTCAGATGAGTACGTCACTTTAAAAATACTGATGATACAACAGGAAGCTTGGTTACAATGCATAAATTAAGGAAGAAAATAATCTTTCTTCTTTAGAGGTCATAGGCTCTGTAAGATGAAAGAGATAACACAAACCACATGATCGGTCTCCCTTTATGCTGCCCATAGAAAAACTTCTTTCCTTTGAGGTCATTTGCACCTCACTTCCAATTTCCTGAAAAGCCCATTTAAAGCAGTCCCATACAGAAGCCTATTTATGATCTTTCATTTCTGATGTACGGATCTGAGACCGAGTGTCCCTTCCGGTCCGCGAGCCTTTACTGTCACATTGACTGTGATATAATCCCATTATTTTATCAGGTTTCATCTTAATACTCACTAGGTTTCCTGGACCTCATTATTCCTAAAAGGAAGTTGTTTCAAATTCCAGTAATGGTTTGATTATCATCCTAAACATTGTGCTCTTTTCCCTCCCTGATATTTAGCTGCAAACACATTTTTAAAAAGACGTCACAAAATAACAGCTTTACTTTTTGCCATGCTCACTAATATGCCCTCCTTCAGTCTCCCGTCATGTCATGCTCATAGCCATTCTCAGTTCCCGTTCCAGTTAGCATTAGGCTTTTTTGAATTTTGTGTGCATGAGGGCTCAGCAATGGCATATCAGCAATGGCATTATGTTTCCTTACCTCCACTAGAAATAATTCTCCTAATTCATCCTAATAATATATATTTTTTTGATTCAGGGTGACAGCAAATGGTTAGTTGTAATTATCAAAAAATATAGTCAGATTTTTCCCTTCTTGCCTTCTCCCATTTATAATTGATAATCCTATAGATTTTCAGTTAGAAGAGGCCTCTTTCCGGTCTGTAAGAATAGATCTTTGCATTTTTGTTACTCCAATACAAAGGGCGGTCCAGTTTCCTAGATAGTATTTTGATCATCTATGTTATCGACTATGCTTCCCTACTTAGTAGTTAACCAATGTCTTTAATAGAGTCCTAGCATTTAATTCCTAAATTAGATTGAGAATTGGCCCAAATACAACCCACAAGATCTTTAACTTCTGACTTTCCTACAGCCTGATGTTCCCCTTTCAACTCAGTCTGTTTCTGTGATCAGTCCCCCTGGTCCCCATTTCCCAGTTCCTCACGCATCTTAAAATTCTTGTACTGATATCCCTCCTTCCCTCTTTAACCAGTAATTTCCCAGGGGGAACCTGTTATCACTGAAGTGCTTTCTTGATTCAATTGTTCAGGCGCAATTCTGTAAGGTATTGTCCAGAGCAGTACCGAGCACTGCTACCAAGCATCCTCCAGTGTCATTACATTGATGGGAGCAGAGAGCCCTCAGCATGTTTCAAAACGTTACTGATTTGGGCAGTAATTCATCATAAGGACCCCTCCCCAGCAGGATATCAAAGGTCTGCTCTTTCTTGCTACGTTGGCTCTAAGGAATTTGCTTTTTACACTTTAACTGCAAATTTCATGGCTACCGCTATAATGCAATCACCATTTAGTACTTTTCTCAGACCACCTTTTCCAAAGGTACAATGCAGTCTCTTCTATTTCAGGCACAGATTTACAAAGCTTCATGCAAAATGTTTAAGAGCATTTCTAACATATTTTTTTAAATAGAAAACCAGCTTATAACTACATCATTAAGTAGTTCAAACTCTCTCACCTCTTCAACTGAGTTTACTTTATTAAAACAAACAACAAAAAAAGATACATCCTTTTAACAGGCATTATTGTATTTGCTGTGATTTTGCATAAGAAAAATATTTTGAAACATCAGTAGTGTTTACTTTGCAGAAGTTTTGGCAGGTAGAGTATCTCAGCAGTGTGATAACAGTACTATACAAAGCATGGGAAAAGGGCATTCCTGTTTAAACTTCCATCTGCGTACCATTAGGTCAAAAGAGGCAGTAGTCTGTCAGTGAAAAAAATTGTGGTTTTTTTTTTTTTTTTTTTCCTCTTACATAGCTGTAGAAATTATGTTTAAAAAGAAAATAGATTGTTTTCTTTTGTAAAAATTTTCTTTCCGCAATAAAATACAAAAGTCTGTTCGTGTATAATTTAAAGCAGCTTCCAAGAATACCAGCTACAAGTACCAGTAGGCTAAAAGGGAGGAGGATTAATATCATTTAAAGGAAAGAAATACAAAATCCTTAAGGTCATTTCTTTTCTTGACAAAGGAACTTTGAAAGCATGGCAGACAGGATCTTCAAAGGATTTTAAAAGTCCCGTCATCCACTCCCAATCAATAGGAGTTAGATACCCAAATTAAGAGTTCAGTTCAAGCCTTCAAAGGTATTTGGGTGCTTAACTTCCTTTTACCTTTCAGATCACTTCTAAGGGTAAAATGACAGGCCAACTGAAAATATTTTTGTGCACTATTCCACATGTCCAGCACCGGGATAATTTGTAGTATCCACTGATAATTAACATAATGGCCACTTCTGTTGCAAATTCATTCCTTGTTTGAATATGTGTAGAGTTGGTTGACTTGTTTATGAAATTGTTTTCTTGTTTGAAACAACAACTTTGGTTTCCACTTTCTTTCAATACCAAGCACAAACAAACAACAACAACAAAAAGCAGAATGCAAACTTTAAAAAGTGAACTAAAATAGCATTAATGTTTACAGAGGTTACAAACAATTTCAGTGAATTTGCAAAGCTCCTGAGGTTGGATTCCCAAAGGATGCAGATGAAAATGATTTCTTTGTAACACGCCGTATATGCTCAGTTCTAGAGTCTGACTTTCCCTGTCTGTGCTTGCACATCTGCATGTGCAGGATAAGGCTCCTGCCAGATAATTGAACTTATTATCAATGTAAAAAGTTAAAGACCTGCTATAAATGTAGTCAAAATATGTTGCCTAGTACAGATCGTCCATGCAATATTAATGTCTCTTAAAGTTTGCCAGGCCTCCACCTGGTGGGGGTCCCACTGGGAGCTGCGGGGTGCAATCAGGAGTACCTCTGCCTCTACTATTAAGCATTTTGAAAAATCTTACATGGTTTTCAGGAAAAAAAAAAAAAGCCACAGTCAAGATTTACTGGAAGTGCTGTCTGATCGCGGTGCCTCAGGCACGCGCGGTGGCAGTGGCAGCTCGCCGCGTTAGCATGGCGCTACTGCTTGTTTACAATTTGAGCCGCCCAATCCTTTCTGTCAAGCAGAAGGTGTTTGGTACAGTGCAGGCACGAACTGTTGCCACAGCCTGCCCATGATCGGCACCGAAACAAGCCGGTGTGTTATGGTCACACGCCCTGGGGCACCCAGCCAGGCCGTGGATCCCGGAGCTGCGGGCGCCGCGTGGCATCGTTGGGCCTCCAGCCCAGCGCCTGCGTCTCTGAGGCTGTTGTCGCAGCCGCTCATGCTCGTGTTGCCCATCGTGTTTTCTAGTGTAGAGGCACCTCAGCTGAGTAGTTAGCAGGTGGTCACACCCTACATTTTATGGATTTTCCTTTTGTTCATCGCAGTCCTCTCATTGCTTTGGCTCCAGTGCGCAGGCCCGCCATAGCTGGTGGCTCTGAGGCCGGGAAGCAGCAGGGCAGGGAAGGGCAGGGCAGGCACATCCCCTTTCCTCGGTTTTATTTCCAGCTTTGGGCACTTCGTAGCTCTAAAGAAAGAGCAACCCCTGCTGGCTCTCCTTCAGCTCTGCTCCCAGCTCCAGAAATAGCCACAGGATCCTCGCCTCAGCCATTAAAAAAAGGGTGGCTGCTAAGCACGAGGAAATGATTCTCAGCAGGCACAAATCTATTTCATGTGTTTTTATTCTTTCCATTTCTTTTAAACGGAAAACAATCTGAGCAGTTTCTGAGGATGAGGGATATAAATCTGTCTGCTGCTATTTATACCGTGCTCGTCACTGCAGTGGCTAAGTGCTTAAAATATATACTTGCTGCCTAACCTGAGGTGGTCTTCAAGCTGCTTTGGCTGTCGAGAGCAGAGGCATCTCAAACCAGCAGTGACCAGGAGGCTAGGAGATGCCCAGCTCTTGGTCTTCCTCCTCCTGTTGGGTGCAAAGCCTCTGCCAAGCTGTAGCAGTGCAATGGGGGTGGTGAGGGCCCCGTGCTGGACACGGCGTTGAATTGTGGCCCAGAGAAAGGACTTCAATGAGCACCTGCTTTAAACACCGCGTAGCACTATTGAAAGGGAAGATTTAGTGTCCTAAGCCTCACAGGCAGCATTGTGTGCGCCATTCTTCCTCTTTGGGTGGGTAGACAGCTGTGGGTAAACTGGGGGTGTCTTTGAACGAGGCCATAGAAATGAGCCTGTCTGTTCTGGATGGATATTTCAGTAAGCAAATACCTTCCCTTTGCCTTGTTTGAATAATAAGATACCCCTTTTCTGTCTGCTCCCTTTCAAACATGCTTCACGTTTACCATGCACACCTACGTATTACTCTTTATTCCCATGTTCTGTGTGGACATTCAAATAACATTAAAACCACTGATTCATTGAAATACTTTTTATTGTTGTTAGTCATTTTTGTATTGACTGAATTTTTCATTGGTAATATTGCTGGCAGTGGGCCATGTCTGCCTGGCTGGAGGCCAGTTTAAGCTCGGCAGGATGAGCCCTATTGTTCAGCAGACTTGGATTTTGTTAAACTCTCTAACAGAAATATGTGTCAGGAGATTTGCAGTTATAAATTGGATCATGTCGGTGAGGTTGGGAACTCGCTCAATACAAAATTGTACATTCCACCATGCCTGTTGCTAAATATGTTTATGCATCTTTCCTCCGTGGGTTTCCAAAGCAAAAAAAAAAAACGAAGAAAAGAAAAAAAAAAAGAAAAAGAAAAAAGCTGAACCTGTTGAGCTCTGTTTTTAACTTATACAGCTGGTACTTTCTTTGATGTTAAGTGGTTTAAAAATGCAGCAAGGCTTGGTTTTGTGCATTGCAATGTTAAAAGCAAGTCTATTTTCCCTTTCTTCTCTGTGTGTTACAGGCAGTCAGATGCCACCGCAGCCTCCTGGCAGCCAGTCAGAATCCAGCTCCCACCCTGCTTTGAGCCAGTCACCAATGCCACAGGACCGAGGTTTGTTAGGTGTTTGGGTCTTTTTTATAGTTGGTGCCAAGTTCAGTCTTCATTTTAAGATGCACATTAGTAATATGAGATTTCCTGTTTTTTTTTTTCCTTTTCCCAGAGAAAATAATGACAATCCTTATTTTAAAAGCCTCTGGGGGTTTCCTTCTCTGGGGAAAGAGCAATTGAATAGCAGGTTTTACCAAAACATAACTGGAAACAAGGTCTTTTTAAAATACAGTGAATACCCAGAGTATAAAAGCAGTTTTCTGTAAATGATTGATTTATGTCCTAGAAAATTCAACTTTTTGTTGTCTGTCTTGGAATTGAGATCTATAGAAAGTACTATAGAAATTTTAGTAGCTACAAGCACTGTAGTTTTGATACTGTTCTTAGAATTCTCGTCTCTGATGTCTTTGCACGGACATGATAGCTAGTGCTCTAGCCAGCTCTAGAAATAAAAATATCTTTAAATATAAAGGGAAATTAACTATTTAGGTCAAATAGTTCAAAGATTTGGAAATTCTACAAGGAAAAACCTTGCAGGCAGCACACTGTTCTAAAACACTGCTTCCTAGCAAGCGCTCACCAAAATAAACGGAGAAATATTTTTTCTTAATGTTACTGTTTGTAAATGTTAAGCCCTTTTTCCTTTTGCCTCCTTCCTCCCTAGCTCACAAAAAAAAAAGAATTATTACAGGCTTCTCACATGGCCATATGATCAACTGCTGTAAACTGGGCATCCTGTCCATGCAGTGGTTAACATGTGCCAGCAACAAGCTTGCAAAACAGACACATGATAACTGTGATAAACATGGAGTTATTTATGAAATGCCCCTCCTAAAATGTCTTGCTACCAGAAATATTCCAAGTAGCACCATATGGGGATACCATAAATACTAGAAGTTTTCTCACAGTGAAACAAGTTGAACTCACAGAATGACAAATTTCTGGGACAGCATCCAGGAGAAACTAAGAGGATTCACAAAGAGGAGGAAAGAGTCCTAATTTTTGCTATTTTTCTGTGTTGGAAGTCACCTCCTCCAGGAATGCTGATTAATGAGAACATTAAATAGAAAATTCCACATTTGATTCATTTATTTTATTTCCTTTGCAGGTCATTCTTTATACATAGTTAGTGCAGGGACCTAAAATTCGTTTTAGAGTAATGTACGTGCTTGGTGAAGAAGAGTGGCCTCATTACCCGGTACAGAAGTGTTATGTTTTGTAGGACAGAATGTCACAAGACAGTGGGAGTGGATCAGGTCGAGGCTTTGAAGACCCAAGCATCTCAGAAAGATGTGTGCATTTCTTGGCATGATTGGGTCTTGGCACTAAATGTGGCGCTGCTCAGTAATAAGTGTTAGTGTGTGTTCCTCACCTGGCTTTGGGGGATGAGTTAGGCGGATCTGACCAAGCTGTACAGTTTGGTTGAACCCTTTGACTGTTCTTACAGAACAAAACTGAGTGTCAGTATGTGGTCAGGGGAGACAGAGGGGCATGCAGAAGTAAAAGTTAGAAGACAGCTACTAAAACTGGGAAGTCAAACAAGTATATAACAGTGAGGAAAATAAAATTTACAGGTTGATGTAGCGTTGTTCTTCATCTATGGGGGGGATAATTGTGGGCATGTTCTTAGAGGAAATGTGTTTGGGAATGTTAACACGTAATTTTTTCACATTTCATATGTAGAATCTGGTGTAATATGTGTGATCCTTGTGACCCGTCTTGTACAAGAAGTTCATTTGTTTCATGCAGAAGATATGAAATTTGTAACTAGCTAGGTCATATTGATTTTGCAGAACGTGTTCCCCAAAGCTTCTCTAAAGTCTGCGCGATACGTGCATAAACATGCGTGCATTCCCTTTTGCGCCCTGTCATTGATTAGAGGCTCCTTTGAAATGGAAAACTTCACCTTTTAAAAAGGCTGTTACATTAGTTGATTCCTTTGCTTGCTTGAACTGGTTTCCACTGAACTTGAAGACAGGAAGGAGGGGGAGTAATGGGGACTCAAAGGGAAGGTGCTTGTCATTTACTGATAAAAACCTGAGCAGAAAATCGTTGCTGCTAAGGACACCTGATCCATAGGCATCTGTTACAGTAATTTAAACTCATGGCTTACTGATGCACTTTCTACAAAAAAAAAAAAAAGAAAGAAAAAAGAAAAAAATGAAAACAAAAAGCCTAGAGACCCTTCATAGGATAAGGTAAAGTCATTTTCTTTAGTACTTTGTGTAACATTTCTTTCCTTATTTAGAGAGATAATTGAATGAACAACAGGTTGCTAACAGTTTCCTGAAGAGAATCCTTTGCTCTCAATGTTTAGAAAAAAAAAATGTTATCTATCAGATATTGTAAAATTTGATTATCAGGTGGAGTATGAACTGTAGCACTTCTGGATGCTAAACTACTACCTTGAACCATTAAGTTTACACATCTTTATTATTGAAGTGTTTGATTATATTTTATCCTATGTTATCCACGGTTACTCAGCACCCAGCTGGGATTTCTTATGTTTGCCTGCCTGAGGCTATACATCCCTGTCATACAGTGCAGTATGAAGCAATGAGCAAATTTTTACATGTACATTCTGTGTGTGAGAGGAGTAAAGGTGGCAAGGTGTGTACGTATGTACAGTAATAGGAATTTCTTGGGAGACTGGATTTTCTGTGCTCTTAGCTTACTTTTATATAGCTTATTACATTCTTTTTGTAATGATTGCATCAAAGTGCATACGTTTTAAAAATAATTTGAATTTTATTCATGTCAAACTGGTACATTTGGATCCAGTGAACATACTGTTGTAGGTAGCCTACTTCTCTTCTCATCCCAGAAGTGATCACCAGTTACTGATGTTCAACGCCCAGTCAATGAATCTATTTCAGTTCTACCAATATGCATCATCCACAGTAAGAAATTCTTTGTAATTTTATGCATATAACCTGTGTCTCAATACACAAGACTTTCAAAGTACTGGCACTTTGAGTTAGACCCATATCACATAGGTAACTGTTGGAGTCCGAGAGCTGTGGAGATAGAAGGAGCAGGCTGTGCGGGGTTGGGGTCAGAAGGCTCTTGGAGAAGCAGGAGGAGCAGTGCTGGCTCACCTACCTACACATGCGTTTATCTGCTGCTGAATCCCAGCAGTTACCATTACTAGGGAATAACACGTGAAAATGTAGTCGTGCTTGTTGAAGCTAGTCATTGAAACTTACTGCTGGGAGGGATCCATGTTTTGCTCTTTGTTTCTCATATAGCTACTTCAGCTTTTTCTTTATTGTGACCAGAAGTAGATTTTTTTTTATTTTTTGTATTTACAAACTTTAGTTACATCAGTCCCTAGAGGCAGAGAAGCAGAGATACCTGTTGTACCCATCTGGCGAATACTTGAAGTACAGGGACTTACGTTGCCTATTCTCAACTACCAACCTGCCTGCTCTGCTGAAGTTTTGGAAGCTGCACTTTGAGGATGTGCTCAATAGCTAAAACTACTCTGTGGGCCAGAAGGTGTCTGTATGGATGAAATAGAAGCCAGCACATCCAAATTAACCCCCTGAACTAGTTTCCTGAAGTGTGAAAAGGAAGTCTTCTATCCTGACCTTTAGTTTATACTCCCACTCTTAATTTTGCAAGCTAAGGGAGATGTCCATTAGGAGATGGTATATGAATATTCACATAAGTAAACACTAATAGGAGAAAACGTGTCACAGTAATGCTGAAACAGACACTTTCACTCTGGGAGAAGTGAATGGTTCCTTACCTAATTTTGAAAAAGCATAGAAAACGTATTAAGAAAAGTAATATTTTTTCATGCTTTTCAAGTTGTGTATCCACATGTCCAGTTTCAATCTCATATTAAAATAGTGAATTGGGAGCTCCTGAAAACCATTGAATTTAATGGAAACGGTTAATGACTTCATGTTATTACTCCAGCAAGCACCCTCATAATGGGGATACTTAAAGAAGCCTTATTTATTAGTGCAAATGTATATGGGTCAGAATTAATTTTTAAAAAATCTTTAATTGTTTTCCCCTTATAATTTTCACAGCGGTATGTAGTTAAATATTCATGATAATGCTGATGATATGCTAAAGGTCTGAAATAGATCTGGAGCCTCAAAATCAACACAGGTTATTTAACCCTTTTCATCTAATGCACCATTGGGGACTTGCTCAGTGAAATCCCAGAGCACTGGAATAATTAGAAGATAGTAATGAGGATTTAATTAGTCCTTGAGATATGCTGAAATAGGACCACTGAGAACTTTTCTGTTTGGACATGGATTGCAAGCAGAATTGATGCCGTTGCAGCTGCTGTGATGTGCTGGAAAATGTATTCTGTAGCTGGAGGCAGTTTCATGGCACCATTCTGTGCCTGTCAGATCTGTGCAGAAAGTGCCCGGAGTAAGCACCTCCAAAATTGTTGAATAGCCTTGCTCTTCTCCATCACCTTCTCCCAGTACCTTTTCTTTTTTTTTTCTATTTTTTCTTTTCCTTTTTTTTTTTTTTCTTCTTTTTGTCATCCTTTCCATTCTGGCTGTTTATTTCTTTCTGCTGTTGACACGATCTAAGGATTGTTGTATGGTTACATGCTCTATGAAAAACATATCACAAACAGGGACAAGGAGTAAGAACAGGCTTGTAGGAGTACAGGTGTTACACTAAGCAAAATTGGGATCTTTTTGACACAAGTGCTTGTAAGCTTTATCCTCAGATCTAGACCTTATTTAGTATTATACCTTCACAGAAGTGATATTTATCAGTAGCTGCAATATAGTAAATTTAAATAGCTTTTTTGGCAGCCAAGATGTTATCCAGCAAGAGGTAGTAACAGATGGGATGTGATCAGGCATTTTGATGTTCTCTTTGTGCTTCCCTATAAACACTAAGTAGCAACTGAATTTCTGTAACTACAATTTCCTAATTTGCCCATTGGATTTCATGCAGGTATTTTTATCCCCTTGAACTGTTTTGTGGGCATGCTTATTTGTACACGGCCATCACATAAATTC